GCAGGTTTCAGATTGGTGTGCCTTACTATTATCAGAAATTATCACGAGTTAACATTATTCATGGCCTCGTGCGCATGCCCCCGTAATAAATGCTCAACATATGCTGTACATATATATACTACGTATGTATATTTGGAATTTAATAAAATTATAGTTTCAGGGTAGAATTTATATTATATAAACCTACACCCTGACCCTGAAATCCAAAGAAATTCCAAATCCCAACATATATGACAATAGACAATATATATATATTAGTACGTATTTATATGCAATTACATGAATTACACGGATACTTTTGTGCAGGGTGTAAGAATAAAACCGGTTCTAAACTCTGGTTTAAAGTTTACGTAATTATTCATTTAAGAACCAATAGAAAGTATATAAGTAAATCTGTGCTTAGATTTGTAATCTATTGTTTTATTGATTTATTTCTAATGCATTGCGCTATCAGCTTACATTTGTGACCATCATCACTATGATGCGAAACTTGTATGGAGTTAGGGGTACAATATCTTACTTTGTTGTAATACATTTTAATAATAATATTTACTCAATTTTAGCCCAAACCTCAAATAATACATATGCAGCAGCAGTAACAAAAAAAAAAGAAAAAAAAAAATTCAATATTCATGCAAAAGTGGAAAATTACATCTCTAGCATCTCCTGATGAAAACAAAGGTCAATAAGAAACATTTGGCTTCGTCGTATCAACCTTTGACTCACATGTATTATGACTAAAGACTTCATCTGCACAAGATATGATACTGATTATAGATATCACTTAAAAAATTTAAAAAATAAAGTTCGTAGTTTGTCCGAGTGAACGTTATCACGACATACTTAAGTGATGTCGTGTAACATTGCAAATCAAAAGGACAAAAAAAAATTTCAAGTTTTCGTCATTCATATCAGATAGACTCTTAAAATCCGCATGTAATCGCTTCCGCCTCTTTAAAGGGCCCGTGGTAAGTATATTTTTGGATTTTGAATTGATAAGCAGATAAACAAGATTACTTAGAAAAAGATTTAATAATTAAAAGTGACAATTTTGATTAATAAAGGTGAAAAAAAAAATTGTCGACCTTATTACAAGGCAGATCCAGAATTCAATGTAAAGTAATTTATTGAATTCATTCCATTACACCTAAAGTTCAACTATAATTATTTCTCTTTAACACCTACCTCTCACAGTACTCTAATTCCACGGAACCCCTCCAATTTCGCAATGCCTGCGATTGAAATTAATGACACTGACATTTACATCATTTGTAATGATGATATTGAACTTATAAGGTTAATTGTCTCTAGTCTACGTGAAAAAGGCGCAAGTAAAATCCATCTCCTGGTCTCTGATAATCAAGCTCAAGTAATTCAAATCATTCATCATTTTAATTAATTTCTGTAATTATTTCATCAATGCACACAATTACATGCTCTCATTCAAAATATCTTAATCATTTAAGAGAATTACTGAAAGTTATGAAACCTTCAATGAAACAATAATAAAGGGTACATGGGAAGAAACTTCTGATTTTGAATGCGTCTTAACGAGTAAGTTTTATGAGTAAGTTTTATTGATATTTATTGTCTTGCTATTTTTTTTGGCTTAGAGAGATATAATTTGTTTAAAGATTTCATGTTAAAATAATATATATAATCAACTCTCTCTAAGTGCATATCATCTAAGTGCATACTATCCAAGTGCATATCTTCTAAGTGTAAGTTTAATAAAATTCTCTTTAAATGCAGAAGCATTTCAAATCCAAGTATATAGTACAACTTAGATTTATTCTCTTTAAAGGTAACTTTCTTTAAATATAGAGATTTATTCTTTTTCAATCAATACCTTTTAAAATCTCATCGAGCTGCACTTAGAAGGAGTCGACCGTACATATATATAAATTTTAACTTAATTGGTAACATCTGGACAGCTAATATTGTAAACATTAGCGCAATATTACTGTTTATAAATGCTCTATTTATTATCCTAATGGTGATAGATCATTTATAATTAATAGCACTTAGGATAGCATTTAGATCTTTTCAAATTTTAAATGCGATCCATTAAACCAATTTTAACGGTTTTATCACCATCAGAATAATAATGATTAAGTG